TTCACGCGCAGACCGGCTGTCTCTTATTTAGCACACTCGTCATGAATTTCGGACACACTGAAAAAATTATGAGATAGACAAACACATTGGCGGTTCCAAGGAGGGATTATGGTGGGTAATTTCCAAAATATGAATCGGCCAATATATGCCAATATAGGCTTACGAAGTTAAAAAGAGTTCAAATTTATTGAATTGAAAATAAAAACAATATATAAATAAGTATAATTGCATCAAAGTAGCAGTCCGCGTAGGGGAAGGTGGGGCAAGATGGGGAAGCTAAGGATTGATTTGGAGTTATAGCTCAAATTCGTACTTTTTTTGAATATTTTTTATTTTATAGTATTCATTGGTTACAAGTGTATAAATAATAGCCGAAAACAAATTAAATATTTATTTATTTAAAAAAAAACTGGGAAAACTGAAAAAGTAAGATTTTCCCCGTCTTGCAGCATAGGTGGGGTAAGATGGGGTTCATAATATAATGTCAAAATGAAAAGAATTAATTCAACATTTAACTAAAATAAAATTGAATTGCCTAATAAAACTTAAAGGGACTGAAGCTCATAGTACCAAAAAACTATTTCTTGGGTTTACACAATAAACAGATTCATCGTCATCATCCTCAACGTCTGCGCCCATTTATTACACTTTATACAGTTTATCCAGCCTTCTACAGATTCGGAATATAATCTACTGCAATAGAGACATGAGGTGTCGTCCTCATCGTCGCTTTCGTCAGTTGACTCATGTCTGGGACGCTTTCCTTTTTGTCTTATCTGATTTTACTGTTTTTTTTCGTCAGTTTTTGTTTTTCCTCGATTATTTGTTTTCTTCTTTCTTCATTTGTCTATCGATGTTCCTTTTGACTTTTAGTTGCTCCTTCTGTTGTTTTTCTTGTAATTCCTTCTCAAGCTCTTCCTTATAAGGTGAAGAGGTTATAACTGCTGTCTTCCCTTTTTTCCTAGTTTGGATTCTGTTTTTATTTGTGGTAACCGGTGGCGGCAGTAGCTGCTTAGGAGTAACTAGTATAAATGACGTACTTTGTGTTGGCGAATGAATCTGTTTCTCTCGACTTGTGTTCTAAAATGAACAAGCTGGCTGAGGACTGGAGGACTGAGACTGTGTGCTTGATGATTGCGTCGATGTATTAGGATTGCTCTCATTTAATCTTGGGTTTGTACTTTCCGCTGGATTTTGGAAAATATTAGCTTGGGGTAATTGATCCTGTCCTAAATTTATATTAGTGGTCTCAGAAGCGATAAAATCGTCTTCAGTGAAGACAGTAGGATCATATGGCCAGATGTCACATTTTTCAAAAGTATTTATGGATGTGGTTATAGTGGCTGCTTGTACAAAAGCTTTTCCAAATAGTTCTGCCACTTGCCTGCTTGTTACTACAAGCCCTGGGTTGGAACGTAGCCAGAAAGTCACAGCTTGGTCATAATAAGTACTAAGAGGCTTCATAAACGCTACATCGAGTGGCTGAAGCCTATGAGTAGTGTGCGGCGGAAATGAGATAATTTCGACGCCATTTTCTCTAGCCATATTTATTAATTCAATGCTTTAGTATGTGTTGCATGTCCATCAAGAAGCAACAACACAGGTCGTTCTTTAGATGCGCCGCTAAATAAAATGAACTTTTCAAACCACTGTAAAACAGCTCCGTGGTCATCCAGCCCGATTCACTGAAAACTCCTCAAGCCCCTTGTGCAGCATTAATCCTTAATTCGGGCTTCATTCGTTTCCGGGGAACACGATCATTGGCGGCATATAGTGACCCGTAGAGTTAAAACAAACTTCAACTGTAATGGTTGTTCCTCTCTCTGCTGATGTTAAGGCCCCTACTTGTTTACGCCCCCTTTTTGCTACGATTCTGCATTTGCTTTTCGGCACGATGGATATACCAATTTCGTCCGTATTATATATGTATATTCTATCTGCGACAATTTTCTTTTCGTCGTAAACCTTGCCAAGCAAATTGAAAAAGTTTTCAGAGGTACTTTTAGTTTTTGTAAATTGTCCATATTTTCTCTAGCCAATTTTACTTTTCGTTCCAACGTAGTTTGAGGAACTTCAAAAGATTTTGCAGCTAAGTAATAACCCATTTTATTTTCCACTACAGCTAAAACAACATTCTTCATCTGCTCTTCCGTCCAACCCCCTCTATCGGTTTTACGAACGTAATTTCGCACCATTCTGAAATGTAAAAAATATTGGATAAATCTTAATCGGTACCACCCTATCTTGCCCCACGAGTGATACCCCATCATGCCTCTTCCTGCATTATATAAAAAAAATAAAAGCAACAAAAAAAATAATCTAGTTATTTAAAAAAACAAAAGCTCATCTTAATTTACAATGTCAAAAGTTTCCTCAGTACCCAAACTTAGCACTGTATACAAATATTTTGTAACAGTTTCACGCTTGTAAACAAATGCGAAAATAATAACGTAACCTTAAAAAACACGTGATTCCGCGCTGTCGTAAAAGCACGACCTACTCCAATAACGATACAGAAGCTACTGAAATAAGCGACACGTTGGCGTCGTTTCATGTGAAGTTCTCGAATTTAACACCTTGGATTGGCGGAATAATACGCGTACCCCATCCTGCCTCGTTACCCCACCTTGCCTCACCTTCCCCTACTGACAGAATCTAAAAAAGATTCTGTCAATACATGTGGTATTATTCGCTAGACAAGCATGGGAGATACTAAAAATATTGAGGCGATAAACTCAATGCCAAACCAAGTAAGATGCGAATCACACAGTAGAAACCCGTTTCATGAAACTGAAGCTACTTGTTTTCACACTTACTGAAGATACTTCAATTGTATAAGTTTACTCATGTAAGAGCTGAGCTGCTGAACTACGATCAGAGTTAACCTTTTTTGTTGAATTCTTTACGTCTGGCTTAATGGGATATTTTAATAGAAAAGTTCTATAAATCATTTTCTCGACAACGATCACTTGAGAGAGAGCTAGACCCATGTTTTGTAATTCTAATCTGTGTTCTTGGTTATCCAACATTCTTAGACGAATACAAAGCAAATATCACGCCCTCGAACTACTTATTTGATGAGTATCAAAAAATAAATTAAAAACGTATAGTAACGCTCAAGTATTAGTAAATATTAAATTTCACCCTATACCAAATCTTGCGAGCGATTCATAATAGCATAATGACCACTCTACTCAAGTTCCCTGTCAAAATAAAAAATGAGCTCTAGCTACAAATTAAAATAGTGACGTTACCACTAACAGGGGTGGCTATACCTGAACCAAATCATGATTATCGTATAAAAAACCTCCTTTAATTGACCTCTAGGCCAGATTTTGTAGGGTGGGAACAACGAACATACTCGTAGTGACCATTGTAGGAGCTGATCTTATTGTCCAGCATCCGCTTTGCCGGACATAACGCATAGAAAAATACCTAGACCAGTGGGAAATTTCGTTGCTACTTCCGCCGGAAACTCGTTTTGCATAGGCAGAAAAAACTCTAATAGCGACCCTTTTTGCTGTAGTTCGGTACCGATTAAGCCGTTGAGCTTAATTTGCATTATGCCAATTTGATAATTTTTTTAATCTACAATAAAGGGTAAAACGGTAAACGTGAGGGAATAGAGATAGAAAATTTTGAATTTCGAGTTCTATTTAGACAAGTGTAATCTAAACGAAACCATAAGTTCATTCTTAGGGGGCGGATCCAGATAGGGACATTTTAGGTGGGAAGACCTCTGAGAGCGAATGTTCTTGTGATATTGTGAGGGGGAGTGACCGGCTATTGAAAATTGAAGATCGGAGAACAATAATTTTCTGCGTACCTATTTAGCTCTATCTCTCCGGCAGAGGTATTACGCATCTTGAAAAGTGTCATTTTTTGACATTATAAACACACATTATGTAGGATTTTCTACATATCAACTAGCACTAGCTATTGTACACTTGTTGTGTACTCGTTCCGTAGATGTAAGTAGGTGTTCCCCCACGCGTCATTATCCTTCAGATATCAATGTTTGGCTCTGGTCTCAAATACACTTACTTACTTGAGATGTATGCAAAGCTAAAAATTAGTTGCGCATCCGCTTTTTCTCATTCAACTGGAAATTAGGTAAATAGGCAAATTTTCTATATTTCAAAAAAGAGACCGATAAGAAAAGAAAATCCCTGGTTGATGAAGTATATTAAAACTAACAGGTGAGAAAATATGGTACATACAGGAATATTTATCAAACGTAAAAGAAGCTATTACATTCCACATTAATTTATATTTCCAGTCATTTAAATTTTATAAACGCAAAAAAAAACCGGGAACATCGTAATGTATAACATTGAACATAACCAGAAAGGATAACACAAATAACCCGTCTTGTACAGCTAATAGATATATTTCAGTAATAATTTACTCACATAACAAATATCGCAGATTTTATACACATGCAGACCATACCACACATCTTCTCAGAGGCTATCTCGGCCATTCTGCAACCAACAAAGCATGATGGGGAACTGGAGAACACTATAGATAGACGCTCACAGCGTTCATAGCGAGCAAACGCAGAATGTACTATTTGCACACTAGGCAGTAAGTTGACATTTTGTACAAAAACCGTAACGACACATTGACATGACATTTGACTATAAACGCCATTGTGCTTAGAGCAGAGAACTTGCGCTGGTCCTCCTTTCATGTTTCGTTAATCTATATCGACATATATAATTAATTGGCGCCAGAATTGTCAAAATTCGCCAATTTGCCGGATAGATACTGGACACCACTGAAGTAGCCAATGGCCAAGCTATCCATTTTAGTCGCCATCAAATCGTCACTTTGGCGAAAAATCGTCACGCTTGGCAACCCTTTAAGACTCTTTATGAATAATATTGATGAAACCTCTAACGACGCAATGAGGCACTCTGCCTTTTCCTTCTTCTTACACTGTCTTACAACCTTACAACATGGACAACACACTACAACACAGAACACAGACTCCTACAGTTATTTTCATTTTTCCTCATTAGATGGAGCCACAACCGCACCGACATCTAGCGGGAAGTGATAGAAGTATAGTAGCACTTGATATTTTCTTCACAGAATTCATTTTCGTAGTATGCTAACGTTGATCACAGGATGGTGCAATTTTTTGATGCTAAATCAAATCGCCATTTTGCAATTTAGCCCTTTAAATCCCAAGCCTTATGATAATTTGAACAATATTTGTAATTTTGTAGTAATTATGCATATTTTGGAAATTACTAAAACCTATGGTAGTGAAGGAATAGAATTGTGGTGAGAATAAGAAGGTGGCTGTGAAGAAAATGTGCTCTGGCGACAAACTGTCACTTAGTTTAGTAAACATAACCTCAGGACTAGGTAAGTTTTTATTCCATATTTTCTACAATAATACGTATTCTAACCAAATGTTTACATTTTAGGTATATCTGCATGGCTTTTATCTATTACTAGATACTGTCGGATACTGCATAACATATTTGAAGAAGTGCAAGCAGAGCTTACTTCAGGTTAAAAGTAAGTATTGAGAGGTAGATTTTGCTCGGTTTGCAGGCGGGTTGCAACAATAAGCAAGCTGGAAGGTCAAGCCTAGTAAAATCTATCGTAGTCAGATGGTTCGACAGCTTGCTCAAGTGTAAATCTTCTTTTGAGAGTGCTGGGTAGACACTTGCACTGTCGTTGGTCAAAACTGTATCCGGTTGTACACTCCTGCACTTCACGACACTGACATGAACATATCTTAGGATTCCACAATTTTTGAGGGTCATTTATGCATTTTCTTGCTTCATCTGTATTCACACAAGCACATCGACATTCTGCTTCACGATATTCCTGGTACTTATTGCAGTCCTAGAACACATTGTACTTTTATGCATATAATTCTGGTTAAGAGGTATGTAAATTACAAGGTTACCTTAACTTACCTTGGCTTTTGTTATGCAGCCACATTTGCATGAAACATGTCTGTCAACAAGAACTACTTCCTTAGAAATTACTTTCAGCTTGTTGTTACCAACATATTTAGTTTTCTTGACCTGAAATATTACAGTTTTCATCATTATTTACTTTTAAATAAGGCAATAATTGAGCATGTGATTCATCCAATAAAAATCTTATAAGAGTCTATTTATAAACAAAATTACAGTATTCCCCAGACAAATACAGTACCTCAGTACAAGTATACTAAATTCGGTGATAATATGAACAAGTAGGTGATATATTCTCAATTTGTAATACATGTTCATGTGTATTACAGAAGACTCTAAAATAGTGCATCATAGGGAAAAATATTATTTTGTAGATTATCTTCCCCCATTCTTTATGGTCAAAACTTATTTATAGCCCTAATGACATGCAAACATTTAGAATTAAATATGATCTTCAGATGTACAAAATTAAAACACTTGAAAAAGTCTATTTTTAATTAGGCAGTTGTTCAATTATTTTTACAGAGAATGAGAAGAAAACAGAGATGATTTGTGATATGTTTCATTTTAATGCAACTTCTGAAAGTGAAGATTTTCATGTGTATAGGACTCCCTTGTCTGTCCAAATCAATGTTTCAATTTCTCTTTATTCTATGTTTTGACCACCACAGCTTCATTGTACTAGAAAAATGCCATACAATACAGAAATTAGAACATATATGTGGTTTCATTCAGCCAGATGATGAAGCCTGGATCCCTCTATGTTTCATTTTATTTCAACCTGCCAGAGAAACAAGTCACATGTTCCAAATCTATTTTTATTGTTAAACTCTTAACAAATAATTCTACTTGATAACATGGTGAGAGCATCTGAATCTAGAACAATGATGAAATACAAAAGGTCTGCCAATTGGCAGTGCTAATATATGTTGTGGTTACCAAATGAAGTCAAATCACTTTCTTTCTAATTTCTTAGATCAATTTTTTAGTAATAAGGGTATGTCTTATTTGAAAAGAACATAGCTTAGGTGATCAATCATGTATCTTTATGTCTAACTCAGGATTCCTCTGCTTGAAACCAACATACAGTCGACTAATAGATATGACATTTAAGGGAAACAAGTTGTCTGCAAATAAATTACCTGAAATGCAATTGTTTCTGTATCTATTGGCTGACATTCCAGTAATGGATGGGAACAGCATCCACCACACCTCTCAATTCTTGTACATGGTGGCATGTAGAGTATGCTGGGATCTGTGTCAGTTCCTAATTTTACACTAACTTTTTCAGGTTGGCATCCAGCTGGTTTTGGTACTATAGCAGCATCTGTAATATCAAACACCAACTGTTGTATCAATTATAAGTCATTTGAGTTAAACAGACTAAATAAGCATGATGATTTTTGAGTTCAATGTCTGAATTTGGTATATTGGTTAAAAGTTTCCATAGTCAAAACCAGTGAAATCTGTCATTACTATCACGAAGATGAAGAGACATACAAATCAAAGCTTTTGAAAGGTACACACAAGTCATTCATTTAGCACTGTAGCATCATCTACATCAACAAGCATTTCTTAAAGCATTGACAATTGGGAGCATTAGCAGAGAAGTTATTGGCTGAAAATATCAACATTACATATCTTGGAAATTTAAGAAAAATGGTTGAAAAATAGTGTTCTATACATTTTACTCAAATGTGTAAAATCGATGATGTGAGGTTGAAAAAGTGTTATTGGTCAAATAGACACATTTTCAGCTGATACCACATATTGTTAGGAACCATAATCATGCAATGTTTGTTATAATTTTGTAAATATTGTTTGCATAAAAATGTCTTTTAGATGCAGCTAGTTGAAACTGTGTATGTAATTAAAAAGTGTTTTATATTAATGCATGGGCAATACCAACCTTTATTACTATATTTCTTTGTTGACGGAATATATTCTACCGTATTTTAAGATGTACTTCAATACAAACCATGACATAAATAGTGCGAGCGTGCATGGCAATGTTAATATGGGCCTCAATAATGCATTTTAGTAGTTACAAAGTAAATAGTTAAATACAAAAACATATATTACCTCCACCACCTTGGTACTTACTTCGGGCCCCATCCCCAAACCTGTCTGAAAAATAATGAATCATTAATATTTGAAACTATTATTGTTTTTTTATTCTAACGCATTTTATAACTCCTACTTTCTTGAAGTATGTTTTATGTTAAACATGGGTGTCCTAAAGTTCACGCAAGATTTGAATTAAGTAGATAATTCTTCTTAAGGTTACTTTTTACTGACAGTATGTGATCATAACAAAATTCGCATCATTCTCAAAAGTGCTTATGATATTTTTGTATAATGTGGATGAATTTCGTTGAATCGGCCTAGATTTTTGCTTTCAATGCACGTGTCTTCGGGTTAAAAATTCTTGGAATTCAGTCAACCATTTATTCCATAATTTACAGTCAAGAATCCAAAACTTCAATGTAGCCTTATTGGCATGGATCTTTGACTTCAGATTACCCCATAGATAAAAATCCAATGATGTTAGATCACACGATCTGGGAGGGCAAGTGTGATCGTCTAAATGAGAGATTGCACGACCAGAAAATGTCCCATGAAGCAATTGAATTGTTCCACTGGTAGTATTGCATGTTGCACTGTCTTCTTGAAACCACACATTATCCATACCACTTTTGGCTTAATTTAAGCAGAGATAATCCCATAGCCCGGTCTAGGGGTTCAATTCTAATGACCAAAAGGAGGAGGATTGGTTCAAGAGATTAGATGCTATCTTATAAAGCCACATGTGTTGTCTCCACATCGATATTGCTTACTTGAGGCAAAAAGAAGCCCAAAGCTACTCATAAATAGACAAAGAAAATTCAATAAACAATAACAGTCTAAAGAAGCTCTATTCACAACTATGGATCATGTCAAATATATAAAAAATAATATGCTCATGAACTCTTACGATTTTTCCAACTAATCGATTCGCAACGACTGTTTTTCCTTGAAAATCACAAATATAGTTTTTTGAATTTGAAACATTTTTAGCCCAATATATTGGATCTTTGGAGGAGAGCCTAACCATACCCACTACTAGATGGATTGAATATGCTACAAGTTTTACAACTTCTGCTTAACTAAGATTGCTTTTATTTTTCAGTTTTTTCTACGAACAAAATGGAATTTTCCGAAAAAGATGTTCAGGAGGCGCAGGTTTTTGGTGAATTTTACATCGATAAAATGGAGAACCATAGGAACACATTACAATATTATCTTTGTGAGAATGTTGTACTGGATTGGTTTGGCAAAACGGTGAAGGGTGATAAAACCGTAAGCGCCTTTTTGAAGAAAACCTTGGCATCAGTGAATCACATCATGACTGATGCTGTACCAGTGAAAAAAATTGGATTCAGAGATACACACGTTGTTAATGTTCCTAAGTAGGTATACCGAAATTCGTCGTAAATCTCGACAACCATAGCAGCGTTTTTTCATTGGAGCTTACCAAAATTGGCATAATGGTGGAATGCCAATATTGCAATTAGCACAGTTTGGACTAAAATCTATACTTTAGCTCCCAGAACTTTCATTGTCATAAGAATCTCTCAAAGCAGATACTGAGCTAGATTTTCGTGGAGTAGTTTACAAATAAAAGCTTAACGCGGGTTTACCAGTACTTTAAAAATAACTGGCAAGCGCGAAAGTCTAATGCTCATAGATCAATTGTGTTTGATACAATTCACATTCATTGACTTTGCTAATGTCTATACATCTTGCTACCACATATATATTTAACCTTAACTGTAATCATTGCTGTAGTTATTTAAACCAATTTAAAACATCTATAAGGAATGTAAAGCATGTGGAACATCATTCGTATAGACTGATATATATTTAACTTTGCAATTTATCAGCTTTTTGATACATCTGATTTTTCTAAGCTGATTAAACACCTCTATCCTGGTACCGCCTTTTTTGGATATGTTAGAAAGTACCCATCTACTGAGGCTCAAGTCATATTTATACCGAGAACTGTACCAGAAAAAATGTATTTCCACTTGAAATTATTATTCATCAGAATGCAGTGGGAAACGTTTTGTCAATCATATCAATCATATGGAACTTGCATAGAAAATACTATAATATAATTAATGGTCTGGTCCGTTTCAGTTTCGGGGCAGTAAAGTGCTAATGTTTGTTGGTTGTGTTTTCACTATGCTAGCATTAAAAGTCGTTTTCCAGCATATTGAATTATAGAAGAAGGTAGCTACCTAACGAGTTGTACCTAATATTAAACATTTCTCACTTGATTTCAAACATTTCGGAATATAAAGCTTCATTTTCAAAACAATATAACAAGTTAACATGATACAATTATTCTAAATGACATTTACCTTTATTTACCATTTCTCAGCGGAAAATTGTTGTGAGTAATGGTGATTTCTCCAGTTATTAGTGAAAACAAAGCAGAAACCTGCACTATATTTAGAATGAGTATTTCCCTCATGTATAAAAAATCTCATAAGAGGTGAGGAATTATTGTAAAATTACAACGACTATTTTCCTCGTCTTAATTTCTACCAAACACAAGCGCACAATTTTGAATTACAAGTAATTTCTAGATGGAAAAATTGTATGTCAGCACCTGTCAGCAGTTTTTTCGAGTTTACCGCGGCAACACTTGACCGCTGTTGTCACCAATAATTACAATACCTTGATAACAAGTAGGAATGGTCTCCTGGGATACCAGAAAATGACGCTAAACAATTTTTCTGATTTTATGGTCAATAAGTTCAGTAAGCTATGTGTATGCAGAATAATATGTTACCCATGAAATAGTCTTGTCAAATAACATTGGGACATCTAATTTTTTCCTGTGAAAAAATCAAAAACAATGCAAAGTAATATTTTTTTAACAAAAAAACATTCGTGCAGTTTAGTTATGATTTCGTATATATTACAGGGAACCAAAGTTTATTCCAATGGGTCTAATGACTCCTCCTCGAATATGCCATCAGAAGATGTTATTCAAAACCCCCAAGAAGCAAAATGGTGCCTCAACTAGCAGTCTGTTCCAACCAAAAGAGAACAACAAGGAGAAAGGCCAGGGAGATGGTATCCACAATCTTTTAGACGTGGAAACCTCTCCTGTCAAAAAATTCAAAGCATCCAATGGTGATCCGGTAGTGAGCAACTTAGAGCTAGTAGAAAGTGAATGTGATCTGGTAATGCCTCAAGTTAAGTATGTCCTAATGGACGGTGCCATAGAATTCCATAAGCCCAGCTCTAAAAAACTTCAAAGTGAGACTAAGTGGAAGAGACCTAGTAAGTTAAGTGTAGCTTATTCTAAGACGAACTGCGAATATACGATTTATTTGATCATTTATGAAGGGAATGTGAAGTGCAGAAGGAATCTTTTGAAGGAGTTTGAGGAGGAAGAGCCTGAAAATTGATTTCGTGGAAGAAATTGATCTTTATAATTTTTCTCCATTACATTTTGATTTGACTTTCGATGCAAGTGGTATGTATAGCTTACAGATGCTCTCAAAGAGCGTGGCTTCCTTTGATTATTGACATTGACAAAAAAAAATGGTATGATCGGGCACAATATACTTGCAAAGTGATATTGAGTTATTTTTTGTTCCATTCTCTGGACTTACGGGTGACAGGAGAGTTGTCTTTGCTTTACATTTTCGGAAAAACAGTTCCAAAGCAATTTTATAATCAGTGTAACATATGTAATTTAGGCGGTTGTCTGTGATAGTTTGCAATCTAATGTCTTGGTTGCATCAACATATACAATGGTGGTCAAAAAAATAAGAGTGGGCATTTTGAAAACCAATAACATAATTAAAAGTCAGATATATATATATATATAACTTGAGACGTGGTCATTGTCGTTTAGACCAGTTAGGTGAAAAATAAAGCTTTTGTTGGGTACTCCGACAAAATTCAAGCAAAGAGGACTCTTTATACTTTATTAATCTCTAGCTTTCAATGGACTTTGCCATCTTCATCAGGAGAGTCGTATGTGAGATTGTTGCTAAATGTTATTAACGTTTAGGTGGAGGGAAACAACCAGTAACCTGGTGAATGCTGGATACATGGTACATTCGTCAAAACTACACACAGCTGTAGGTCAGGAACAAATTAAAACGGATTAAAAATATTTAAAACAAAAGTTAAAAATTACATCGTGAACCACCTGATGCTGCACAAGATAGGTGATCATGTGCCCATTGAAAGCTAGAGATTAATAAAGTATAAAGTGTCTTCTTTGCTTGAATTTTGTTTTTAGTACCCAACAAAACGCAGAAGCTTTAATGTTCACATATATATATATATATATATACATATGCTACTTAAGCAATCTGTAATCAACTTTATAATATTAGTAAAGACTCGAAAAATAAAAGTTAACAATTAAGATTTTGTGAAAATACAAGTGGTCAAAAAAATAAGAGTAAATTTAACCAATAGATAAAACAGACAGAACACTGCATTTAATTAACATATTTTTATTTCTAATTAACGAATATTTTTAGTACTTGATAGTAACCCTTGTTCTTCAGGACAGCACCACATCTGCTTGGCACTGAGTCGATAAGTTTGTGGCAGGTTTACGGAGGTATTGAATACCATGTTTTTTTTAACTTCTTTCCCAAAGTAACTTTTGGTTTGTTGTATTTTTGTGTGATATTCGATGCTTCAATTCCAAAGATTCAAGTCAGGAGACTTTGGAGGCCACGGCAAAACTTGAACTTTCTTCGACTGGAACCGTGTTTTACTACCTTTGCTGTATGCTAAGGATCATTGTCCTGTTGGTAGATCCAACGTAGTGACATATTTTCCTCGGCTTCGGTAGCATAACATTCTCCATGATTGTAATAAATTCCTTGTCATATTTCTTTTATACAAAAATAGGTACAGTACAGTCCCGCTAATCGGAACATCCGGATAATCCGAACGGCTCCACGGCGAAAATTTTATAATTTTAAGGACGCAAATCGGTGAATATTTCAATATAAAGTAACCTTAGTTCAAAACAGTTCTTTATTTAATATTTACGCACTGTACATCAAGTTATGGTACAAATTTTTAAATGGAATAAACTACAGAACAGAACACTAATGTTTAGTATGAAAAATTGTACAACATAAGATTAAATATATATAAAACATGTACAGTACAGTACTGATAATGTAGTGAACAAGTACCTTATTACATGACTTCAGTTATTGTTTTCTGACGCAACGAAGACAGTCTTTTCGATGATGTGTAACGACTGACGGCCAACAGTACGGGCACACGCACACGCAGCCACACTGTCATTGAGTCAGGACAGTCAATGACCGAGCTAATCCGTTACTCCGGCCAATCCGAACAGGGGTCGGTCCGATATTGTTCGGATTATCGGGACTGTACTGTATAACGCCAGAATATGAAAAGCAACCCTATATTTTTATGTTCCCTCCGCCATGCTTAACCGTTCCTATTGTGTAGCACGAATTCAGTTCCCTATTTGGACCTCTCCTTACGTAAACCCTTCCATCAGATCCAAACAAATTTATTTTTGTTTCAGCGCTAAAAATGACATTTTTCCAATTGCGACTGTAGGTGTCGTTTAGATTATTCCTTGCAAACTCCATTCGTTGCAGTATATGCTTTTTAGATAAAAGGGGAACTCTTCTGGCAACTCTGCCATGAAGATTCATTTCTTGCAAACGTCTTTTTATTGTTCTAGTGCTGCTAGATAAGCCTAATTGATGTTTTATAACGAATGAATTACCAAATGGATCTCTAACAGCTTCAGGAGCAATCCTTTTATCCATACGTGGCATTGTTTTTCTTGGACGACCTCTTCTTTCTGGTTGTTTCTCAGCAGTTTTTTGTTCTTTTAGTATTTTAGCTCTCACACAAGGGGATCTTTTAAGTACACTCAAAATAAATGCGTAGGTTTTGTTTTGACTTCGCATGTGTAATATTAAACGCCGTTCTTCTGGCGTACAATGTTTCGCGCGTGCCATGTTGCAAAGAAAGGACCGTCAATAAACTCTGCAAGTACTGTACTAAGCATAGAAATATTCTACTGGCTATAATAGCAAAAACATTTAACATACTCTTATTTTTGGTCCACAAAATTTCCCATACATACTATAACTGATAAAAATGAATAGCCTTGACATTCCAAATGTGTATTTTTTCAGCATGTAAAGCATAAATCTTAATCTTGTGTAATGCACTATCCAAGAAAAAAATTACTTTGCAGTCACCTTGACAATTTGGTTGTTACATAACATTTAAGATATTTTTCTTTTACACTCTTATTATTTCTGACCACCACTGTATATATTTGCCAGGTATACTATATGCGGAAATAACAAGTTTGTAAAATTACACTGACTTAGACGCCAATTGATTGATCAGTATCCAAGACGACAGTTTTTTATCCTTGAGCATGTCAATAATTTTTATTTAGAGTTCTAAAATATATAAAAAATTATGTTGGGCTATAGAGAATCGAAAATAATTCAAAATGTAATGGGATTGATCACATTATATATGTTTCGTATTATAATACCATATTTGTAATTATCATGTAACCAAGAAGGCAATATAGTTTGATATATTATGTTAGTACTTTCAAATGCTTTAATATTTTTTGTATATTTTTATACGATGTGAAATGTCCATACAACTTATTGTTAAAATACTTGAATAAATCATATTTTTATATCTCATGTTTAGTACCCTAAAAAATGTTAGCTTGTACCAAAAAAGACTACGATTTATTATTATGTCAATGTCAATTATTTCAATATTTTCGATACCAATCTAAAAAGTATGGCTGGCGAAAATTAATACTTTACCAATTTTTCTAAATATGGTCATCATGTTTTAAAATATCTTTAATATACATAAGCTCCATATTTTAAGATGGGCAGTTCTGGAGCTTCAAGTACTGTTGTTTGAAATGCATAAGTGATTTTTCTTTGTAAGCTAATTTAATCAAATAGTCTTAGCAATGGATAAACTATTGAGCCATTTATTAACTGAAATCTTTTTGATATGCCTATGAGTATTCTACTTACTCATTATAAAAGGTGTTCCATCAATGTCATCGTCATCTTCTACATAGTTAAAAAGTTCTGTTATATTGTCGACCTCGCTGATTCTCAGTGCTAAGTCCAAAGGAATCTGTAAAATAGTAGTACAGTACTAAACTTAGAGACTTTCCTAACTTGAATGACTTATTTAACTCGCTAGACATGATACACTTTGCTAATTAGAAATCTGAAAAAGAAATATTACCAGTCCGAGCTTTTCATCTGATAAACCAAGTAAAATGGCGTGGGAGGTTATAGGAGACCTAACTGGAAGAACTAGTGTACATATTTAGTGTAAAAATTTAACCGTAAAAACAGCAGCTTGCTAATAGAAATATTTAATACCTTTTTTATGAAGGCACCTGCAGGAACTGATGACAAAATCGATAAAATCTGTTGGTTGTTGTTGGTGTTTCAAGTTTTCTCAAAATTTGTTAAAACGCGTAGCAATAGTTTCTGCCTTGTACCAACAACTGAGAATGATCTATATATTTTTAAACATAGACTGAAAAATAACTAGTCTGCCGGCAATGACGACGTACCCAATTTCTTATTGAAACTGTGGGAAGTATGTAACAGAACTAGTTTATTTGATAAAGTTCTTTTACGGCAAACCTCGTAGTCTTAAAGTCGAAAAATTTGTGCCCATCTTCAAAAAAGTAGAGTCTTAGTCAGTGGAAAACTATAGGTTAGTGGCTGTGCCTCCTTCATTTTCAAAGTTGTTTGACTATTCAACTTTATGCCAGCTATTGAATTTTTTTGACAAATTTAACATAATAAATTCCAATCAACATGTTTTTTCTTCAGGGTAGATCCACCAACACTGCCATAAATGAATTCTACGAAATAATTTTAGAGATGGTCGATGCGGGTGAGTGCCCTAGTAGTCATAACATAATTTTGGAAAATCTGCAAAGTTCCTGGGGATATATAACTTTCTGTTTTGGCAAGAGCATTGTGAGGGTTTTCAAGATAATTATGACTTGTTATGAATGCTGCGATACGGTTTAAATCAAGATCAGCTAGTGGTTTTGTATCATGACCTAGACTTACCTATGCAATTTGCTTTTGGAGAAGATCAACTATACCTAGCGACCTGTTTATTTCCCAGAAAATAGTGCGAATTATAGCCGGTCTTTCGTTACCTCACTCGTGTAGAGATTTGCTTTCTAGATTCAAATGTGTGTTTATACAGGGTCCGTCAGAAAGAACGCATGTTTTTCGAATGGGTACTACATCGAGTGGCCTGTTCCCGTGTCGGTGGGGAAGGGCGTTTTGGATAGAGGGATAAGTGCCGTTTAAGTTTGCAGGATGGTTTGGAACGTTAAGCATCGTGTGTTCACTGTACGTCGGTACTTTCAAAATGGCGGGTCTGTCGTTTTAGAACAAAACGTGAGTTTCGCGTTCACTTTCGTGTTCCACGTGGAATCATTCAACACAACAGGTAATGATATGAAGAAAAAATCGTCAGGGCGAAACCGTACTGTTAGAACCCCGAAAACGTAGACAGAGTGAGAGTTGACACGCTGCAAATCCCGAATCGTTCCGTCCGTTTGCGTTCCAGTCCCCTAGGGATCCACGCGTCCTCTGTACGTCGCATCTTGAAGACGGATTTAGTGTTCCATCCTTACAAAATCCAAGTTTGTCAACCACTGTTGTCAGGGGATTATGCACAACGTGTTAATTTTGCACGGCTCATGATTGAACAGTTGGATAACAATGACATGACGTTGCTTATGAGTAATGAAGCACATTTTCATTTACATGGATACGTCAACAAACAAAATTGTCGATATTGGTCTCCAGTGCACCCCCAACAGTTGCATGAGCACCCCCTGCATACTCCGAAAGTTACAGTTTGGTGTGCAGTAGGTCCAACGATGATTATTGGGCCTTATTTTTTTGACGATGATGGAGAAAAAAACTACTGTGAATTCAGAGCGTTACATCCACATGCTGAACAACTTTTTTTCCGGAACTTCGACGTCGACGTGTCCGTTCCAACAAAACGGGGCAACATATCACACAGCTCGCACTTCCATGGAACTTCTTCGGCAAAAATTCCCAGGACGTCTCATTTCACGTCATGGCGATATTCCATGGCTCACTCGCTGCCCGGACCTGTCAACGTGTGATTTTTTTATGGGGCTACCTGAAATCAAAAGTTTACCAAAGCAAGCCTGGGACCCTCGTCGATTTGAAGGAGAAAATAAAAAGAGAACCCAAATTCCTGCACGGATGCTGGCCATCGCAATAATGGGCTCATTTCGGGAGAGGCTTAGTTCCTGCATTTCGGCTCAAGGGCGCCATCTGACAGACATAGTTTTTAGAACGTAAACTTTGTTTTACTCAAAAAAATGGCATGTATTTCTGAGTATTTTGATACAATAAAATATTTTTCCCATACTTATTATGACTATACTACTCATTTAAAAATCATGCGCTCTTTCTGACGGACCCTGTATATTTGGTAACTGAGCAGGTTTTTTAAGAAATTCCGATTTACGTAGTTTTATTACTCCAAACCTAGGAATGATTTTATCTTGCCACATTGCAAAGTAACATAAATGTAAGAAAGAGATCATCTAATGTTTTTAACAATATAACCACCTACCTCTATTAAGGAATGTGTAAATTTAAGTACTTCCGAGTTTAAAAAATCATTGTGACAGGATTGATTGGAAGTGAGTTTTTTGGCAAATGTAACTGGAGTTTCGTGGTGCTATGTACTTTTATTGATGGAGTCGATACTTGCGAAGTGTTTATTATCACAAACTAATAAAAATATAAGTTATTGCAAAGAGACGGCTACAAATACCGAAAGTGTCATTCTTTTATTATGATTTATCTTTACAAATAAAGGTCATTTCACGGTTTTTGTGCGGCAACAGTAAAACTACAGGAATTACTTTCATACAACCATCTCCCTCATACATTCACATACACATGTAATCGACGCTGCGCGTGGATGTTTGCTTATGTAAACTCGCAGGCATAAGTTTTTTTGTTTTGTCTCACCATCTCAGCATTAGTACGACCACTTGCTTGGTGTGGAGTTTTCCTTTGTTGATGTTTGTTACACAGCACAGCCTAATGATAGGTACGTCTACAACTTCGAGTCTCCGTTAAATTTATTGGAATATTTACAAAACGTGAATGAAGACAACGGTTATCTATCATCCAGACATCCAATTCATGCATATGTCCAAGAGCGAGTAGCAGCTGTGTTAAGGATTAGCTTGCGCAAAATACCTTAAGACAGTTATGCTCTTTGAGCCTATACTTTAGCTGGATTCACTTAGACTAGTTCTAGTGACGTACCTGCAAAGATGTATTGCCTTTAGCTTCTATGCCAAGGTCGGTCAGTGCGACATTCGTGTGTGGATCAGGAGGTTTTCTTGTCGAAGTGCGTGTAACATCAATTCTTGGTTGCTGTGTTGTAATGAATTGTTTACAACACTTCCCGTCATTTTTGTGGAATTCAGGCGAATGCTGGAAGCCAGGTGGAAAGCCTCCATGAGAGTGGTGCTGGTGGTTGTGGGGAAAATCGTCATCATTTGGATATATTATTCTGGCTGCTTGTTCATTTCTATCTACAAAATTTAGAATATAGCATGTAATAATATATCCCCAAAATGCTATATTGTGTTCTAATAATTATGTGCAAGTCTACCTTCAGAGTAGCAGACATTCGTCGATTAGAGAGTGGTTACTGCAATCTTGGAGATGAGATAGCCTTTATGGTGCACAGCTCGGAATGGGGTGCCTGTTTGCTCAACTACATAGCTTACGTTTGTTACTAGTAATCTAGTAATTACTTAGTGCATGCGCGACCTTTGAAGGGCAGACAATTAAAAGGTTCGGTGAACCAGGCACTCGAATGTAACATTCAGTAACAGCATAAGCTATTTGTCTTAGTTGGCACTGAAAACCCTAATACCACATATTCAGCCATATTCAACCAAAAGGTATGCTTGATTTTCTGGAGGATTCTAACTGACGGCACACAAGTTTTCGCAAACGATTTCGAGGTAGGCCACTTCAATTCTTATTTATACGTATTATTACAAGATTATGCGACATTTTATCTACAAACACATAGTTGAAATTAATAAGTATGTATTTTCAATTGACCGCTAAAACATTAAATAGTAAATGGTCAGATGAGGCAGGTGCCCCATTCCCTATAGGCTACTGACTCTGTATTTATTGTCTAAAAAAAGTCACGAATATTTCAGTGGAAAAATTCCAGTTTTACTTTATAATGATTTATACGTATCCAGAAACTGATCTGACATTTAAAGGATTGAAATGTGCATACATATGTGTCTTTGGCGTTGCATTAAAAATTATAATTTTGACATGCGCAGAGTGGTTTAAGTCGAGGTGCTTTTATCCAGCCTCTATATACCTACCTTATATGGATATTGTGTTTTGTTATACATTAGCTTGGTTTAGTATGTATGATACATGATAAATTAATCATAAAATGCAAGTCTACTTTATGATTCCCCAGACATAACAATTGATTCGTGTTCAGCGGCTGTGGTTGTAATGCATCATTAGTGTCGACAATACTTGTAATACTTGTAGAATGTACTATGAATTATTTTTATTCCGCAATATTTGGGTTCATGTACGTTTTGTTCGGTCTTGCTACAGTGAAGGTAACAAGTGGTTTTTCAGATTATTCCCTAACAGTAAAAGGATCACAAAGTTAATACAATAAACACTACAGTATAAGTGTCACGTAGAACCTACATCATCATACTTACTCCTGTCTTGTCCTTTAACACTGTCAAGCAGCACAAGCAGACACGACGAAAGAAGCACTACTGAATCGATGGAGTACCACATCCTTGTTTGTTTACGTTATGTTCACAGCGACTGATATTCGACGTAGTTTGGATAGTACTTGTCGAGTTGGTACCGGATACCGTTTTATTTTCTTAACGCTGACCATATCACGGGCACCACTGCTGGTCGAAGGTGGTACCGCGCGCGATTGTGACGCTTCGTTCATTTAGATTCCACTGCAGAAAGTGGTGGCACACACGGTCATGTCAAGAACAGGTGGTACTACGATTACAATAAGTGAACAGGTTATTGTTGGTGGGTCAAAAATAAAAGAGGACATTAAATCTTTTGACCGATAGATAATGGAAAATTCTTTCTAATTAGATTTTAATTAAACTGTACTACATTTCCGATTTATCATAACTGATATTGATTAATTTATGAGACCTACTTACCTTCTACTTGAGAGCTAATAGATGTGGTAGTGCTTGAGTAAATTATACCGAGTAATCTAAATAAGTAGGCACACACAACAATGCTTTACACGTTTCGAATTTTTTGTAGCTGCGTAAGTGCTTATGTAATTTCATTTCGTGTACCTCACGAGTGGAAGTAGGGTACGTACAAGCAAGTATCAACATTTTATTTGAGAAGCTGACATCTCATATCGTGAACAGGCTGGTATTTTAAAAAACATACAAAATGATAAGTTTTTGGTTAGCAGCTAATTCACAACTCGGAAACATCTTATTGATTATACAATAGTTGCTTCTTTCTGGTTTTTATATTGCTACACTACCCAATATTATTGCTGACTAAAGAATCAACTTGAAAACTGATGGATAAAAATATGACACTAGAGATTCACAATTTATTCAATTGTTTTTCAGAGATTTTTTTTCTGAAAACCTGTTACTTCCTTATTCGCGAGAAGGTACAGGGTGGGCCATAAGAGTGTTGGCGATACAAAGCTTAAATTTCTCGGATACGCGGGGCGCGGGTAAGCTGTAGGCGCGCCGTTGCCTAGCAATTTAGTCGCCATGGAGCCGTACGCGGGAGCGCAGCTTGCATTTTGTGTCCGAGCGTATTATGAAAACAATAAATCGGTTATTACTGCACGACGTTTGTATTTATTTATTTATTTATTTATTTCCAACAGGTGAAACCCTATTACAGGAAATGCTGAAAAAACAACAATTAAAGAGACATGGGGTCTTGGACTTCAATATATAGTATCACACATTCTAAATAAGATTGGATGATCTATAGCAGTTAATAATCGATGCACAACTGTCACTGTAAATATCACACGATTCAGTAACACTGTTCATGAGGCAGCACATGAGATTAATTGGCGATTTTATCATAACATTTGTACGGCCAGCTTGACAATAGAATGCCGTTTGTTGTCGACTCCCTAGTCTTGGAACGCGGAAACTTATTTTTTCAAGTAAATTTTGACAGTCAATTTTATTGTGAATGAGGCCATACAAAAACGACAAAGCAAATATGTTTCGTCTTGTTGACAGTGAATCCAAATTGAAAAACTCTAATAGGGCACTATGGTCACAACCTCTTTCTGGATAAGAATCTGTGCATTTAAGGTGAAAATACTTGAAGGCTTTACGTTGAATGGCCTCAAGGATCACGACAGAATTTTGGTATATAGGAGACCAGATCAGAGTCGCATACTGCAACTTGCTCCTGACAAAAGTAAAAAATAAAGTCATTAATGTATCAACATTGGAGAAACCCTTCCAGTTTCTGATACAGAAACCAAGTAGTCGAGTGGCAGCTGACGAGATATTGAGTATATGCTCAGTAAACGTTAGCTTGGTATCAAAAGTGACTCCAAGGTCTCTATAAGAGGTGCATCTGTCTATAACCTGACCATTGATGTTATAATTATCATAAATTAAATAGTTAACCTTTCTTGTATAAGTCATAACTTTACATTTCGAAACATTCAGACTGAGACAGTTTCATGAACACCATGACGAAATTAGAGCTAAGTCATCTTTCAACGTGACGCAATCCTCGACTGTCTTGAGTGACGTGCAGATTTTAAGGTAACAAATGGAAACACTTCAGTTCAAAAGACAAGTCAATATCAAAAACAATAATGGACCTAGATTTGACCACCATATTCCACAAATAACCTTCTATCCCTCAAATATGAATTCATGAGCGACAGCATTGCATCAGACATACCCACTGTTTTAAGCTTATCCAGAAGTGCATAATGATCAACTTGATCAGCCTTCTGAATTTCTGTGTAAATGACATCAACTTGTCCCTGACCATCCAGTACTTCAGAAATATACTGAGTAATCAGAGCCAAGTTGGTGACCGTAGATCTGCCTCTCATAAACCCATGCTGATTAATAGAGACTGCACCCCTGACCGAGCAGTAAACCGTATGATAAGCGATGTTCTCAAACAACTTGCTGAAATTGCACAGAATTGCTATTTGGCGATATTTGGAAATATCAGAGATATCTCCACTTTTGTGAATAGGACATATTTTAGAGGTCTTCCAGATATTTGGATATGTCTCTGCTTTTAGAATTAGGTTGAATATGGAAGCCAGCGGTTTCGCTAGTATATGAATGCAATCTTTAACGAAAAAACTTGGATCGACATGAACACGGTTTACGCGATTCAAGAGAAGTTCCAAGCGCCAATGTGATACGGAAATGGATCAGAATGTTAGAAACAACCGGCTCGACAGTAGCAATAACAGCTCGTGGTCGTCCAGTTTCTGCAAGATCAGCCGACAATGTAGAGCGTGTTCGTGTTTAAGTTCAGCCAAATCCGCAACAGTCAACACGTAAGAGAAGTCAGGCTTTGGACGTCAAAAGAGCGAGCTTGCGGCGAATTTTGAAGCGTGATTTGCATTTGAAGGCTTATAAGATTCAACTAGTCCAAGAATTAGAACCAGATGATGCCAATAACTGACTTAACTTTGTCAATTTGATGCTCGACCGATTCAACAGTTTTAACAACGTGATGTTTAGCCCCGATCTTTCTCCATACGATTATTTCCTATGGGGCTACCTCAAATCGGTGGTCTACGAGAATAATCCAACTAATTTAGAGCAGCTGAAGAGGAATTTTATTCAGGAAAGTAACAAAATACCGAGAACAACTTTTCTACGAGTTTTCCAAAATCCGCAGCTTCGGTTTCAAGCAGCCGAAGGTACAACATTATTTTTAAATCTTAAAAATTCCTATACTTCTACTTTTTGAAAATACATTTATTTTTCTTTTATATTGCGTAGTTATTTTTTAATTGAATATTGAAATTCATTTATCAGATGTTTCTCTAGATGACATATGACACCTAGATCATCACTCATTTCCGCCTGTCTGCCTGTCGGTCTGTCTGCCCGCTAATCCTTGGGCCGTCTATAACTTCGGAAGTACCGTTTGGATTTTGTTGAAATTGTCACACAAGATTACTACTCGTACTATGCCAAGGACGAAAAAGCTTTGTAGTTTAAGAAAATTGGTACAGTGTCGGCAAAGAAAAAGGAAAAAACGGAAAAAATAAAAATCGCTCATGTTTATTTTCTTGACGTTTCAAAGGATCCTGATCTGTTTAAAAAAAATTTTTACAAGAGTTAATTTACGTTTACAGCGCCAGTAATTTTATGCATCTATCAGATATATTTCATAACATAAATTTTCCGGTACATTTGCTCTTAGAACTTGAATGATAGAGATATATTTGCGATATGTGTATGGGAAAACGAAGTATGATCACACTTCACATAAAATCAAGGAGTGTCATTGGTTAAATATGGAAAATAGAAGATATCTTCATTTAAGCACATTTAAGCATAAACTTTTGAATGACATCTACTCTTGTGATTCTCTATTCGCTAATTTTTCAACACGGTCTTCAGCTCATTCTGTGAAAATTGGCGTCCACTATGTCTCAATATCTAACTACTTTGTGCTGTATATGTATATTCTGTCTATAATGCTATCAGATCATACAATTTGCTGCCAGAAGATTAAATGTCAATGAATTATTAATATAAATTAAAAAAAAGTAACTTGATGGGCAGTAAAAATTATGACACGGCTTCACCACTTATTTTCCACTCCTTATAGATATTCTACTTTTTTTTCAGTTTATTAGGAATCTAATTTTTCAACCAGACTGTTTACATATTAATATATGTATATTTCATTGCTTGCTTACTTTTTGTGTAATAGTCATCTTACTATGATGAATTCAGCTCATTAATCATATACATATGTATGTACCAGCTCCCAGAGAAAATACTCTTATTTCTTTTTAGTTCTTCGAATATGAACTCGTCTGCGGCTAGACTTGTGTGTTAAGTTTATTCTAAGAGGGTCAGAATTGTGCCGAAAATGATCCTTTTTGAATTGATGGCACTGTAGCGTATGAAGTGCAGGGTCAACCTACTTGACGCAATTTTTCCGATACAAGGATTAACATTATCATAATCTTTATACAAAACGATCTGAGCGTGACAATACTGTTTGCACGACTCCCATAAAAAATGATATACATATTCAGGTTACATACGTGGACTTATCGACGTGTTAATAGTGCAAGTATGGTTGCTAGAACCATTTATTTTTGACAATCCACATCCACTGTATGGTAATGTTTGGAGCATGTTACTTAATTTACGCCTGGCGAGGTTTTTTGAAGGACAAAACTTTTGTATTTAATCGAAATTCATGCGATATTTCTGGATCTTTCAAAATTTCATCACATCTCAATTCTAAAAATGAATTCCTGCCACTTCAGCACTTGGGAACCAAAATAAGTCTCAGCTTTCCTGAGTACTTTCTTCCACGATCTTCAGTCATACGTGTAGTAGTTGACTAGTAGTCAATTCACTTATCTTCCCTCAAAATTAGTCATCCCTCTACTCACATAAAGAACTGTAAAAGTTCCAGGCATGTTTAGTATGTTCACATTCCAACTTACATAGACAATTACGGTAACGATTGCACCAACTAGTGCTAGGATCCTGAGATGCTAGAAGAGTCTTTGTTATGCAAAAAAGAATACTGAGGTCAGTGTCAAACCTCCAAAGACGAGAAAGTTGCAGGTAGAGCTTGAATTACTGACTTTGCCAAGTATTTATACTTAAGCTTTCACTCTATGCTGTGTCAGATAGTCAGAATTTTAAGCAAATAAATGACATCACGAGATGTTCAACCAGAAACACATCCACACTAAAAATAAAAAAACTCTAAATATATGGCCATAAAGTTATACAATAAACTTCCTTAAAAAATATGAACCTTAAGGGCTGCGACTGACTGAAGCCGAGCGCTGTAATGTATGTATACTTTATCTGAAGTCACTTGAAACACTGTGAAATACCGGGTGCGTTTTATATATCTATATTTAACACGCTCTGTTGCTGCAAAAATCGCCAAATTTCGCAGCAAATATCCCCCGTATAAGATCAAAGGCAGTTTCACCGGTCCACGTGGAGTAAAGCACGCCTATGCGTGGACATAGCCAATGAGAAAGCGTGTATTTCAGAGCTCCGAAAAAGTGCAGGTGGCTACTGAAAATTGAAACAGTTAAGCCAGTGCC